GTGAGGTTATCAGCCTTAAGCGCTGGCCGCACTTTACCCCCAGAAACATTCCTGGTACTCATTTCTGTTAGATGCTGAGTCGACCCCCAGGGCCATAGTGCGGCTGGAAAGGATTAGGTCAAAACCCAATAACCTCATCGGGAATTTGTGAAAAGTAGTTTCAGAATGATGCGTTTTCGCGTTACGCGGCATTGTATTGTATTGTATTGTATTTTCATCCGTTTTGCTACACAGTAACATTTGGACACGTCATTCAGTAATATAAGTTAACAAAATAAATCTACATAGTTACAAGCATACTACGAACTATACTGATTGATTAATTGATTGATTTATCCAGGAGTACAACTTAACAACAAACCTACAAAGTTACAAGGATACTAACAACATTTTACAATCCTAAGCAATATGTAGATACTACATTTGAAAAAGAAAAAAGAAGAAACAAATACACAAATCATTGTATACAGCTTATGATTTGCTATGACATCCAAATATGAGTATAAATATGAGCATTTTCCGTGTAAATCTCTAGGTCTACTCAGTACTGAGTTCAGAAAGACCAGTTTACTTACAACTGAAAGTTACGATGAACTTCTTAGTGTTAAAAGAATTGTGCCTGTTTGCAACGAAAATAGAGGTGTGTACTGTTCCTTTTCTCTTAAAGATCCAGTTAAATGATACTTTAATTTGAAATGGTTATTATATTTCTTGATCAAGAGAATAATGAATCTTGTTGGTTTCTTTTAGCTTGTTTAANGTGTAAATATGAGCATTTTCCGTGTAAATCTCTAGGTCTACTCAGTACTGAGTTCAGAAAGACCAGTTTACTTACAACTGAAAGTTACGATGAACTTCTTAGTGTTAAAAGAATTGTGCCTGTTTGCAACGAAAATAGAGGTGTGTGCTGTTCCTTTTCTCTTAAAGATCCAGTTAAATGATACTTTAATTTGAAATGGTTATTATATTTCTTGATCAAGAGAATAATGAATCTTGTTGGTTTCTTTTAGCTTGTTTAATTTGTTAATCCATCAGTATTTAGCAAACAAGATTGCGTCAGCCATGGCCTGTTTATGAGTGTACCGATGTAGTGAGTGGTGTTTCCCTTGCTTACAGACTGAAAGCGTAGAATCATGCTAACTCGCAACCCGCTTGGGACGCTTCCAACGGCTAATTTCAGATGGAACGAATCCCCCCTCCCCCACCTCTTTTGATCCCGTCCACTTCTCTCTTATTGTATCTTAAGAACCAAGAATAGCCCTTTTCTACTCTCACATATATACCGAGAACAATACACTGTCCGATCCGGGCCAGATTTTGCGACAGCTTTAGAACTTGTAGACATAAGTAAACATACTCCTGAGTATGCGGAAAACAACGCTGTCTGCCAGTTTCGCAACCCTCGATTGTTCTCTTATTCAATAGCTCCGTCAATCTTTCTGCGAAATGATAGCAGCGGTGAAATCATTATAGGGTTATTAAGGCTGACAATTACAAACTAGCAAGTCGGCGCTAAGTAAGAAAACAACGGACCTAATGTTAAATCCACGAAATACAGCCCTTCTTAAGTATTTTATATTATTGCATTGTTCTGTATCAGAGTACAATAAAATGTTATTTTCGGTAAACGCAACCTTATTCCATTAATTAATAGTTTACAGTTTCGATGTACGCTGCAAGATCCTCAGGCTTTACGTATGAAATATATAGGCATTATTATTATTATTATTATTATT